TGTGTGTGTGTGTGTGACTTTTTACCGAACATTGACAAGGGCATGTGTGACTTTGCTGGCTGCTTCCTTCCACTGGCCCGTGTTAGTTGATACTCTCAGAACTGGAAGGCAGAGAATGACATATAAACTATAATTAGATGCACACATACATCTCCTTTAGGCCCCTAACTAAACAATCTGCTGATTTTTTTCTCAATGAGTCGAGTAAAAAGGAAGCTGGAACCAGAGGATGCTTGCTTGATAAATGACTTAAAGGATTAATCTATAATCAACGTAATATTTACTATATTAAAATAGAGCCATGTTATACTCATCACTGCTTCGGTCTTCTCCAACAGAAAAACTGCTTTCATTTACTAATTACTAGTTCACTAATTAGCAATAAAGGGAAGGCTAGAACACTTTAATGTGAAAAATTTGCAGGAAGCTTTGTTGACAGTACCTTAACACTGATCGGGAAAAACTGCAAAGTGAAAACACTGGAGTTCACTGGTGAATAAATCTAGTATTTCTGTTATTCAGAGAAACTTAAAGCAGCAGATTGGTGAGTATGATATGACTCTTATCACTGTACAGATGGAACTGAAGCTGCAGAAATGTACATTATGCTGTAGTTGGCTACAGTGGTGGATTTTACCCAGCTTGTATTTGCTCATGGTGGCTTTTAATTGAGACTCTGATATTATTTGAACAACAGCTTTTATATGCGAATTTACAATAATTGTTTCAGTTGTAGTCCGGTTTAACTCTGGTGTTTCTAATAACATACCCATACAGTAGAGGTTGTCAAAGACCTGGTGCATTCGTACGATTTCATAGTACAGCTCGTCATAGCTGTTGGAGGTGGGCAGGAACGTGTCGCCATATGTTATGAACATGTTGAAGAGGTTCACAACCTGGATAGGGAGACACACAGTAGTTGACCACACACATAATGTCTCTCAAACAAAAAATAACCCAACAAGAGAAATGAGAGAAGAAAAACAAACCCAAAAATAGGATTTCTAAAGGGAAATCAAATTTATACCACATCAGTTTCTGCATACGCAGCCTGTTTGGCCTCTTTGGCCTCACTAATAAAAGAGGTTTAGACTCTTGTGATTTGACTCATATGCATAGCTGGACTACAAGCAGCAGCACTGATACAGCATCTGGCAGTGGACACATATCCCTGTGAAACTAATTTCCATTGTGGGCTGTACTCTGTCAAGGTCTTGTCTGCAGGCTTTGTGTGTGTGAGTGTGTCTCACCAGTAAGGCCAGATGAAAGATGTTATGCTTGGCCAGCAGTGTGGTCTCATTTGACAGCAGGAACTTCAGCAGGTTGATGAGAGCTGTGCAAAGGGAGACATGCACACATAATGAAATAATCTGGAGTGTTGATAGCCGTCTACCAGCAGAGGCATGTGGCAGCAGTCCACTTTCCTCAGTGTGCATCTTTATTAAGGTAGATAATGGAAACACGGGAGGGGGGGACCTTTCAACACCAAATCAAGTCCAAGAGGAAAACTAAACCCAAAAGAAGAACTAAAATGTGAGTACACAAAAAAAGCTTTTAACAAGCTTCAACACAAGCTGGCACAACAACACGCAAAAAGAAGATAAACTATTGCTTCAATTTGGCCAATTTTTTTCACTCCAGTCTTATTTCATGGTATGCTATTATCACCACCAGGAGGAGAGAGTCTGTGTCTTTCAGGGAATTAAACTGATTATTGGTCTGATTAGAGGAATTTGTATTCTAATGAGACTCAGGGCTATGGGGCCATTACAAGCTGAAATGTTATCCTGTTGTGTGTTGACCACGCTGAAAACAAGGCCACCAGGATGGATTGTGCTTTCTTTAGAGACTCATTATCCAATCTCAATGATGCAATACATTTCCAAAACAACACGCCCAGTGACTTCAATAGGAAATTGGCTTTGTTTTACAAAGGCGGTACTTATTTACTCAACTCTTAAAGTCATGCCCAGCCAATCAAAACATTTTATAAATGTAAATTATTTATATGAGGTGTTGTGAAAAGGTTGAAAAATTAAGTTATGAACATATGATGACGTCAAAGTTGCAAAATTTTTATTTAACATACTTTTTTTGCAAAGACAACCGAAAACAGCAGAAACTGTAAAAAGGGAAACATTATCCCTTGCTTTAATTTTCTGGTTGTACATAGTTACAACTACCATATACAATATATCTTAGAAAGGGAAGGTAATGTGAGGCTGTACTGCACAGCAGTGTTGCAAAGTGTGAGGAGATATTTCAGGCTCTCCTGGTTTTGGAAGTAAAAATCCTAATTGTTTTTCCCACAGACAATGTTACGTAACTAACAGCTGGAGCACTTGTACAGCCTGGATTAGCATGAAACTCTCTGGATCAAATCATCAAAAGATTAACAAAAAAAAAAGTCAAAAAGGTTGAGGCCGTGGACAGAAAAACTGCTTAAATCAATTCACATTTACATTTTGGGTCACTTTTGGATGAATCAGTGATAACGACACAATCTCTTGTTCACAAGTTCAATGACAAAATGTTTTGAATTTGACATGGCTCTGATTCGTGCCTCAGAGACGCTCCTTCTCTATAGGAAAGGTGGCTGAGGATCATGGGTTTTGGAGTATTTAAACTTGACTTTTGATTGATCAAAATGACTCTGATTTCTCAGAGACAAACTTAAAATAATTAGAACTAGTGGCTAAAAAAAATGATTGGTTTTCTACAGTTCATCCTCAGGGTGACATAAATGTCTGTACCAAATTTCACCTGCTGGTGCCGCTAGACAAAAAGTCAGAGAGTTGTATTAATTAATGAACGAAAAGAGGAAATGCAGTGGAGGAAGAGGAGCCTGAAAACTTTGACCGTCTGTTTTCAAAGTGGATGAGGATCATGAAACCATCACCAAATTAAGTTTTATTTCCTGCTTTACTTCACTTTCTTTGTTCGCTGCTCCCTCACCCTCATTTACTCTTTAACCACCACCCCTCAACCACCACCCCATCACTCTCATTCCTTGTTCCCTCATAAAAAGGTATGGTTTGTTGTCAGCTTCCTGACTTGAATAATGCCAAAAACAAACAAAAACTTTGTTTTTGACGTTAATAAATAACGTTTAAGTTAATGCACCTTTGGAAATACTGCACCCACAGCAGGGACATTTTGCCACCTGGAACTATCACACAGGAACTAATTTTAGTCTCTGGTTCCTCCAGTCAAAATGCAAGTTAAGCTTTTGAGCTCCTCAAAAGGTTCTTGGTCCCCTGGGTTAGTGCCTGCCTACCTCATTATTTTGATACAAAGGTTTGGTGTCTTTACCTGACCACAGCTCTCTCCACGTGTAATGTAACCTGATTCTGCACTTCTTCTGGTAGCACAGGAGTTTGTGGATGATCTGTACACAGCGCCTGTGCAGGAAATGAACACATAAAACTGTGGTGATGGAGCTGGTTGGTGAATGAAACTAGAAAAATGCCTGTGTGTGACGTGCATGTCTTCTCACAAATATAAATCCATGGGGAAATCCTTCATCATGTGAGTGACAATAAACTCCACCATCAGATCTAGACAAATGAGTATAGACAAAGAGAAAAAATAACGGTTAGAAATACACATAAATTGCACAAACCTTTAACATCAAATATCACTTTGGCTGCAATAGTGCAACATCAAAGGAAAAAGAAATTGAACAAGATGAATCCATCTTCTTTCCCAGTAATGCAAGTTACAATGCAAAAACAAACAAAGCTATCCAGGAAACAAAATCTGCCAGTAAACATGCCGGGGAAAAAGAACCCATCAAAAAGTGGGAAAATGTCCAGAGAATTCATATATTCTATAACATGAATCAATGACTTAGTGCCTCAGTATTCCTCGTACCTAAAACAGCACACACCAGCGGCCGTGAAGGGATGTTCTTGTCCACTGCTTTTTTTCTGTGCCTCATGGGCTGAAAAAAGAATTTAAATATACAGAAAGCATGTAAATACACATAAATACACTGTACTAAACATACTAGAAATGGAAAATGTATCAGCATACTACCTGACTAATAAGCAATATTGTACAAGATAAGATTTGTATCTTGATGTATGTCACACAACTGTCAAATGTTGCAAACATGATACATTTTTATGGTCTGTATCCAGGAGTGGGTTTACATTCACTCAAGTATCTGGGTTACAGTCGGTATTATCCAGTGAGTTTATATATTAAACTTCATGAGAAACTTGGTTACAGTAATTGGGGTAGAGGATTTAAGAAACCTGATTCCCCCAGGTAGTTTTCTTTCTGGAGAACACCGATTTCCCTGCCATGTATACAGGTAACCAGCTTTCTAATTGGCTTTTTAGAAGTATGTACATAATCTCTATAAAGAATAGCTGAAGCACCCACATTATATACTTAAACTTTCCCATCACTATCGCTTTACACGTTCATATGACAGGAACAGGGGTCTGACAGGGAAAAATACCTAATAACATGTAATACTGTCCCTAATAAGCACAATTATAAGTTTTTTACTTGTTCCATCATTTCTGTGCTCACTTTCACTCACAACCAGAAACTCACCATTCTGTGGAGATTGACTCTGAAGTTCATGTTGTCATCATGAAGAAAGGCATCAGCGTACTGGTCCTATCACACACAGAGGTGAAGTCAGAACAAAGACAATCTGTGGAGGGTGCGAATGTTGCAGCAGTGTAGCTGCTACCTACCTCAGCTATGCAGGTGAGGATGATTAGGCACAGTCTGGCACTGTTGAGTCGATGCTCATCTGGAAACACAAATATGAGACTCTTAACAGGCATAGATCAAACAGAGGGACAGGCAGTGTTTCTGTTTTGGTGTTTTGGGAGCAGTGACTGAAACAAATGTTTATTAAGTGTGATAACAGTTGTGGGATTGAAGAGCAGCATTTATTTGTCACTGGTGTCTAAGACTAATACGTGAGGACACTTCAGGACAAGAAAAACTGAAAGAATGAAGGATTACAGGAAAGTAGAGTGGCAGAGACAAAGAGGAAGAGGGCATGAATGTTTCCGTTTACCTTTAGTATCCTGCATTACAATGGAGGCGTACTTGAGGAAGGTGATGAGAAGGTTGCTAGTCTGCAGGTTGGGATCCAAGGGCAGTTCTGGGTTGTTCATCACTACACAGCAGATGTACAAATAAATCATCAATCAATTTTTGTGTAAATTATTATGGAGAAAAGGTGTTATAGAAAAGGTGTATATATATATATATATATATATATGAACCAAACAGAAAGACCATAATTGTGATAAATCAAACTTTAAGTCACAAAACTGTCCAAGTCAGTTATTCCAAAAATAATGACGTCCTAAAAAAAGTCTACTGTCTAAAAGTGGGGATAAAAAGAGCTGTCAGCCTTGTTTGGCCAGACGGTGCTCATTCAAGCAAATAACAGCATTACAAAAAGGGATGTCCCATTACTGTAGCTACAGTAGCTCGCTGTGTCGTCCAGACAAGCATCTTCATCCATTTAAAAATCTCTGCTCGCTGAAATATACAGCTTGTTTCATGGATAAATGATGATCTGGTCATTTCTATCTCGCTCCTTCCCGCCAAACCCTCATTTGTTTCCATCTTCCTCAAATCACTACAGCGCCAAAGACAGAAATCACACTGTCAAGAAACATATCATCACAGGGGGCTATACTGTGGAAGGAAAAAGTATATTCCCGACATGTGATTGCAGACATATGCGAGACACGTGTGCAATTATTTCTGGTCTAAGTTGAGGGTCCCCTAAGTGCTGAGGCTCCCATGACATGGCGTAATGCACGCTGCATGTGAAACATTCATCTGTGTTTGAAGCTAGAGGTTAATATTTCATACAGAAAATGGCTCTTAGGTTTGAAGCAATGGAGGGAGAGCTCGCCGGAGATAGAAACATGCACCTTTTAACAGTTATAGCATGTGTGAATGCTAAATGACTTGCAACAATGTTCACCTTCAATGAAATTCAAAGTGACAACCATGCACTCAAGTTAAAAGAGATAATACTAAGTATATGGGATGTTGTAAGAATCAGATTATTAAAATGGAATGAAACCACATTAGAAGCGCCATTTATTGCATATGAGCATCTCTCTTCTATCAGATAACCTTTAAAATCTTTTGAATATTTGAAAAGGCTGCTGATGTGGGTGCATGTGTGCCTCTGTGTTGAATGTGTCTGTTCAAGGCAGAAGTGAGTGAGAGTCACCATGTTTGGAGGGGGAGGTTCTAAAAATGGATGTAAAAACACTGTTAAGATTAAACTGAGGCACAGAGGCATTGACCCTTGATGTCAAAAAGCTTTTTAAAAATCCTTTTACTCCATTTTCTACAATTTCAGGTTTTGACGGGATCAATATTTTCAGTTTAGTTCAGTTCTGTTTCAAAGGTGAGGCTGTCATACAAAATATATGTAAAGACAAAGAATTGTCAAGACAAGGTTGTCCTCCCCTGTAAGCTCTGATGTCCTTCAAGGATGAACACACTAAAGGTGAATATTGCTGCCAGTATGTAAGGCCATAAGATGCAGTTTCTATAATCACCACTAGACAAAAACAGACTATTAAAGCCGATGGAGAAAACCTCCTGTTTATTTCAGGAAAAGAAAGAAAGTTTGTCAGGTTTTGCAAATAATTGAATTTGCGATGCCAGGTGGAAGGTTTTGCCAATATTAAAATATGTTCAGGTAAAAGGTGTTTGACTGACATTATAACAAATATTACCTATACACTTAACCATAAGATAAGATTTACACCTAAATGTATGATTTCTACTGCATTGCCTAAACCCATTCTTCTCCATAATCCTGTTGCGATCCGCAATTTCACTGCTGCAGAAAATGTGGCTCCAAAACCTGACAGGAAGGCAGCGAGAAGTAGACTCTAATACAGACTCCCCTTCAGAAACCAATAGGTGATGTCACAGACATCAGCCATCTATGCCTCCTTAAAAAAAAAAAAAAAAAAAGAAGTGTATGACTTACTATCTAGGGAGGGCGGTGTTGTGCCAAGTGGTGTTGTAGGTGTTGTTGGAGTAGGGGTGGTAGGTGTGGTTGGGATGTCAATCTCAGGGTGGCTCTGTTGAAAGACCGAAAACACGTGAAATGATACTAATGGTGAATAGCTGTCCCTTGTGTCCCATAATACACCGATCAGAAAAATACACCGATCAGCCATAACATTGTGCACCCTCACTGGTCTGCGGCTACGCAGCCCCATACCAACGAACTGTTGTTTGTTCTGACCCTTTCTATCAGAACCATGGACCAGGATATCCTTAGTGGAGACTGGAAGAGGAGTGTTTACTTCTGGTAGTGCCAAACATTTCCACAAAATGGTTACAAATGGTAGATTTATAACTGATTACAGCATAAAGCAAACACAGTTTAGTTGCTGATGTCTTAACTGCATTTGACCAATCTTCACTATTAACTTAGTGATTTGGGATGGATAGATAATAATTATAATTTGAGTGTCCCCACAGGGATTAATAAAGTAAAAGAAACAAAGTCAACTAAATAATGGCGGAAAAGGGATTGTGCACTTTTAAAGAAATATGTCCTAATAGCAGCATACCACTGTATGTACGTCAACTCTTCTTTTGACGTACTTTTATCATTATCAGAGATCACATCGCAGATGCCATGATTGGCAGGAGATTAGGATGCAAAGGAATAGAAAACCTTTTTCCAATGTTTCACAGTAACGGGAAAGAAGAAACAACAAGGACTGAGAAGAACAAAAATGCTTTGCGAAATGTGTTAAAAACCAACAATAAAGTTTGCCAAATATATCCCGGATTTGTCAAAAAATTCTCATTATTCTGCATGTTCTTATTGTAATAGATGACTTGTCCCATTGTGATTTCCAGACTATGCAGACCCTTAACAAGCTGCCAAGCTCTCTTATTTTGGAACACCCACAAAGCTCTTCTGAGCAAAAAAGCAAAAACACATTTTTGCTAGATAGATTTCATGTTGCTCCTTCCCAACTTTCTTTTGTGTGACCATGCAGGTATGAAGGCTTCTATGCAATACAACTGGGGGGATAAGTTCCAACTGGGCCTCCACAGGTTTTCATCAAAAACAGGTGAGCACATGCACACTAGGAGAAAATGTCCTGTATCTTACCTGTGCTAATACGGTGATGAAGTTGCGGTTAAGGTGCACAGCTTCATAGAGTGCCAAAAGAATCGCCTCATTTGTCCTTGCATAGAAAGAAGTCAGTGGTCAGAACCAGATACTTCTTTTAGCAAGTAAAATCTTCACATAATATTAAACTGTCCAGAACAAGGTTTAAGGCTTTGCTCCAGGCTCAAGAAACAAGTGGGAGGGGGTCAGCAGTGGTGTTTTATTAACAATTGCTTCATGCAAGAGCAGGTCACTTTTTTATTTTCTGTATCATTAACTCCTGCACAATGTGTGTAACTACTAATCCATCATTTTCCAAATTTCTTTACATTCAATTTTTATGTTGATAAATGAGTTGACATTAAAGATGTACAACAACAGTAAACATTGTTTACAGATACAAATAATTGGCTGTTTTTTAAATATTGTCACCCCCCAATGTTTTCATTAATTTACTGTAAAATGTAAAGAACATGACGAGGACAGAAATCAACAACTTTAGAGTGAAAATGTTAATAACAAAAAGTCTACACTGTGTGAGTCTAAACTGTCACTCTTAAAAACTTTTAATGTTTTCTCTTACTGTCATACATGGTCATGATAAACATGCTTAAATGTTCCCCCCAACAAATGATGAGGCTATGCCATGAGCCAATCAAATCTGATCTATGCTACGGCAGCTACAGCATTCACAGATTCACATTGAGTTTAAAAAGTTATACTGCCCACTACGGTATAATATCTACTCAACAATTTCATACTGTTTGATTACTGTTTATACCATTACTGCAAATATGTTAATTTAAACTAGAACCTTTTACAGAGGACGAGTAAGAAAAAAAAAAGAATCACTTTGCACTTACTGTACAGAGAGTTTCTCATCAGCATCTGCTATAAACATGCTGCCCACCTGTGGACAAATGAAGGATCAAGCTATCAGTGTTGAGAACCAAACACATCCTAATGGAAGAAATAACAATTATTTAAAATATATCTACTGTAAAAATATGAAGTAAGAGTAAGATCCTACCATACTAGTGAGGGTAGAGAAGAACCCACCCTGGTTCTCCTCCTCTTTGTCTTTGTACTGCCTACAAGGGGAAAGAAAGAGGAGAGAAAAAGACAGATGTGCAGAAAGTAAGCAAGTAAGTCAAAAAGAAGTAATGAAAAAGTGTTGAGAATGACAAATAAATTGAAGACAGGAAGGGCCACACAGCAGCAGAGGCAGAGTTATATGTTCTCACTCAAACACAGCACTTGTAACCCAACATCTCCTTCCACATCCTGCAATTTATTATCTAAGGGGCATTCAGCTTATACACAAAACAATGAACTGTATGGAGCCGTCATCCATCACTTTGATGCGTCTGTCTCCGCACGTAGACAGACAAGACCTCCTTCACAAACAGCATTTTAATTTCCAAACCTTGCCTCATCAAAAGATGCATTACAGACTGCCAAAGAAAACTGTCGGATATAAATAACTACAAGTATAAATGGCCTGTTTTTTTTCCTTCAGGAGAATAGAAATAGAACATTTGTGGGAGACATCAAACTAAACTGATGACGCCGGCAGCCAATGCAACACATCATTAAAAACATGTTTTTTGACACATGGACAGTTTTAGATCTCACCTGTTATATTCTGTCAGAGCTTGGTGGACAACCATACCCATTCCCTGGGAAAGGAAAGAAAAAATCCTGATGTGCCTGATGTGAAGGTCAATACCTACATTGCACCGGCTGTTTATTATTCTGCAGTTAAAAAGATACAGAAAGTGACAACATACTTACATCTAGTGTTGGCTCATCGTCCACAATGGAGAGCTTCACAATGTAAGGATTCACTGACTAACAAACAGAGACAATCAGTGAAATTAGAAGCCATTAATTACTTGACACAAATATTAGGGATAATACTTTGTTCACACCCACTATTATTCCAAATAAGACAATATTTCGCATTTGATAAGGGTCATATAAACAGCATACATGGTTTGGATATATATTGGATATATATTGGATAAGCAGAATATTTTGTGCTTGTAAAGCAGTCATGGACCCTTAAAGGACAATTCTCTTTTTTTTGTCCCCTGGCTCAGGGGCTCATCGACAGTACATACAGTATCAACAGACAGGTGGGGGGCAACGGTTCAGTACTAACTAAAAATACATGAAGATCAGCTTTCTTGGGAACAGGGTTACACATGCATCCAAAATTTGTTCCTGATCCTTTTATCCCCATCCCACACAGACACTCTTATCCCTCCAGGAAATAACTGAAGAGGCAAGTGAATTGGAACTCATTTCAGAAAGCATGCTTGCTTCTCAGTCATCAAAATATAGTAAAGTGTTTCTTTAAAACCTGACATAACCCAGGCCAAAGATTGTATGTACATCTGGTGCCTTGAAGAAATATTCTGTACAGTTTCCACCTGCACAAATATCCTGCTGATGTGTTCATGGATGAACCTTTTTCCTTCCTAACTTCACTGATTTTACTCATCTGAGCTTTTGCCACAAAACTGCAATGAAGAAAGACAAATTAAAATCTTCACTTTTATTATTCCCTCATGTTCCCCCTAAAATTGACAACGATTTCCTAGAGATGACACATCTGTAATGTACATACTAAAAGAAACTTCAGGGGCTGCTTCTATCACATCCTCTACTGTTGACACAGCCCAGCAGCACAAATATCAGTATCTGAGAGACAACAGAGGAGAAACACTGTGGAGGAAAGGAGGACTGATCTCAGGAGCTTTTGAATGCACTTTGAGTATCAATTCAGTGACACTTTAGAAGGATTTACTAAAGCTCTCTATTAACAAAACAAGTACAGTTCCGTGTGAGTATATGTACACACCTCATATTTCCTGTAGTTGACCAGCAGGGCCAAGAGGACCACAGCATCATAACCATGCTGCCCTCTACTGGACACATCTGACAGAATCTGAGGAGGGGAGAGAGGGAGAACAAAGATGATCAAATTGGGATGAAAGAAGGTTTTAAAATAAGATAAAAATCCCAGAATTACAGTAGACATAGTCTCATCACTTACCTGTAGAATTGCTTCAAAGATGCTGTTGATCATCACATATTCCAGTATAGTGTTCTGACTAATGTTGTCTGTTACCTGTAAACACATTTCCACTTATTTATAAGGTTTTTAACAACACAACAAGCATAAAAAAAAGTCTATCGTGTTTCAATTCATCTTGCTGTTTGTCTCACCGTCACTAAACACAACAGCAGTTTGAGACAAAGGCTCTTCAGACTCTCTGAGCCATCTCCACAAAGAAGGCTGTCCAGTCTCTCCATCAGGTCCTGCAGGAGACACAACCACAAGGCATGAATGAACACAAATTATTTCTTCCACTCCTTTCTTCCCCTCTCTTCTTCCCCTCTCAAGGTACTGTCCACACACCTTCATCCTTTGCTCAGCCTTGTCAAACCCCATGAGCATGTTGATGATGTCAAAGCCAGATGCGGACTTGTTCTTCTGGTGAACCCCCCGGAAAAGTGCACAGAGAGTCTGGGGAGAGAGGCAGAGGAGCACAGGCGTTGCTAAAAGAGTAAAAAATGTTAAATGTTTCACATAAACACAAAAATGTGTTCCAGTCTCAAGTCTTTTGGCTCTGTAGTGGTGACACAAAACTGCCAGGATAATGTTATTACAGTCTCCCTGGCGTACTTCAAATGCTTCTGATGTGATGTAACATGTACAATGTAACCTGTAGCTGAAAGTGTAGGTGATCCCCCTGAGCGTTAGTTACCTGCAGGGCATTGACCACTTTGATCTGGTGCTCCTCTCCCAGAGCCTGAACACAGTGGTGGAACAGAGAGTTGATGTTGTCCTGGATCCGCTGAACCTCCTCCCCATCTACACTCTCCAACTTGGACTCCAGGTACTCTAGGTTCACCTGAAACATGGAGGAAGGAGGTGAAAAAAGTGTTAGAGGAAAATATATTTTGGGGTGCAAAGGAAGAGATATATGTGGAACAGTGGAAAATTATTAGAGGACCAAAGTTATTAGGAAGTACTGGCAATTTCATAAAACCCTTCTGTCAAACCAGCATCAACTCCACCGCCAATTAGAAATCGAGCGAAGCAGAGCAGCTGCAGTCTATGCAAATTCGACCACCAGACAACTATCACAGTCCTACACTGCTGAGTAATCTGTGCAGTATTTGTTTGGACTGTATCTGATTTGTGCACATCACTACTTCCTCTTTTTCTCCTCAAAGTGTGCTATCTCATGCCACAAATATGCAATGATTATGAGGCTGAAAGTGAAAACAGACAGATTAAAGGTTCAACACCACCTCAGTGTATTTTCTGTACACAGGAAGGCTCCTCCTAGTCATGTATAAACAGATTTTTTCTTCACATTGCCTCTTTTCTCCAATGTATTGCAAGTTCTATACATATTTTTAATCAATTCAATAATTTTGCAGACTTGAAGACTCTGAAAAACGTATTCCCCACATTATCAATATGCCTCAGTTAGCTTTACTGCTACCATTGTGACTCACCAACACAATACCAACAGTTTTTCTGGCACACAGAACACGTTCTACTCAACATGTTGCTGCTCTTTGTGTAATAATATTCTTGTTTTTCACTTTACCTTCATAAGGAACAGCTCATCCCAGAAGCGAGCGTTGTTTTTGGCTGGGTCTTCTTTCTAAATTAAAGAAACAGACGAGACTTTATTTACATTTCGGCACAGTTTTATTTCTCTTTACTTCCCACCGCTGACATTCTCCCATTGTCATACTCACTGCAAAAATCTCATCATACATCAGCACCACCTTCTCCTTCAAGGGTTTCTTAGAGGACGACGTCCTCCTCAGCAACCCAGCCTTCTTCTCCACCTGAGACATGACTAAGTCTGAGAAAAGAAGCACAGTGAGCGAGATACAGATGTATGATGTGCGTAAATAACCAAGATTTCTTCTCTTCTGGGGGTTTGTTAAAGGATAAAGTGGACAATGTTCAATATTTATGTTATACTTAAAATCTTCCACAAAAAGACCAAAACCAAAATTGTGTTATTCTGTCTCTCTGTACTTTCCATGTTTCCCAGCCTCAGCCCCCCATTCTGAGGACATGAAACTTAAAATATATATATATAGTTTCATATTCAAAAACTGATATTTCCTTAAACCGTTTGGCATTGTAACAGCAAAGCTACTCAAACAGGAGAAATATTGTGTTTGATTGGGAGCCTTTTCAGCCCTGGATTTGATGCAGCAGTGTTTTCTTTACAGCAGCTGCATGATGCATGTGGAAGTGTTCATCATTACAAAGAAATGTGTCAGCCAGTGCAACAATGTGGCTCTTTAATGGATTAATGGATCATCTTTGTAAAACAATAAAAAGGTGTATGGCACAGAGGAAGGCTTGGGCCACACACACAATCCTTAAATCAGCAGGATCAATTCACTAATGCTGGCTTTCATTTAACAGTAACCTATATGGCCACTACACAAGTGTGCAGCCTACTGTGTCCTCATAGACACTCAACGCCCTTTATTGTGTAACCTAACCAGCCACGTCCCCTCGATCTGTCACCTGTTATAAGGAATAACTATCTAGTGTTACTGACTGTTTGACTAACTTACAGTTACAGTAACTAAACACAGTAAACAGCTGAGACACTACAGGCACAACTTAATGAACGTCATTAAGTCAGCAAAATAACCTGCAAAGCAACGTTTGAATAATTCGCTTAAGTTAGCCAAAGCGGTATTGTGTGGGTTCAGTACTTATCAGCTGACATTAGCTACAATAATAATTAATAATAATAATAATAATAATAATGATGATAATGATGATGATAGCTAACGTTAGCTAACCTAAGTGTAAGTTGGGATGGGCTGCTCGTTAGTTAGCTGACTGACACATCGCTAGCTAACTGGGTTCAACTGAACTAACTGAGTTAACGACAAACAACAACGAGGTCACGTTAACGAGCAGGTGTTGTTGTGTAGTCGACACAAGACGAACTCTTAGTTTATGAGCAGCTAGGCCACCAAACGTCAATGTAGTAAAGAGTTCAGTGTTCGCAGCTAACGCTAACGTTAGCCAGCTAATGCCTGTCAATAACTGTAACCCTGATTAATCGATACTATCACGTTAAATGTGATGATGTGGTTACTGACAACGTTACTGTGTCACACTATTGAGGTGTGTGCAGCTTCGTTAAGAGTGTGCTTTGTTCTTACCTCAATTAAAGTATTAACATCTGTGTTCATGAATCTTTGTGACAACACTAGCTTCTGCTAGCATGCTATCATTAGCCTCCCGCTGCTCCTCAGGGTCCTAGCGCCTCTCAGATTTGAGCTTGAACTGCAGCTAGCTGACTCCATGATTGAAACAGACCTGTACATTAATAAACAAGTACCAATATACTATATGAAAGGATAGTTTACACATGAGTACGTGTCTTGTTCATTTATAATATAAAATGTCTATTGAACACTGACAAAAAACTTTGTTATTATGCCATGCTGTTGATTCAGTAATAGATCACACAGCCTTTTCAGTGTTATGTTGTGGTTTATTTTAATGCACGTCTGCTTCTTGTGTTTTTCTGTTCTCACATGCCGTAGTGTAGGCAGTAGTGCAGAGTTGTGCAAACCATCATCTCCACTGTTCTTGGATTTGTTGGTGAGCTCAGTTGATCCATATTAACAACATAATGGTCTTAAAAAGTCATTTATGTTTTTTCAAAACACTTAGACAAGACAAGGTACATAACCAGCAGCAGCTCACTGATTGTGACCCACCTTTGACCTCTATCTTCCCAGCTAGTTTTAGCGTTATGAAGACTGATATATTTTTTGTCAATGAATGGTAGACCTGTTTCTCTGCACCTACAGTGGTGTGAAAAAGTG